AGTGAGCTTAAATATCATAATCAAGCCCAAAATTTTAAGGTATTAGATATATGCTTTCTTCTACTTATATGGTGTATAGTTAGTCCATTTTTAACTAATGTAAGACTTCATTCATTCACATTTCTATTCCTTAACAATTACCAGTTGAGACATGCTTGTACGAAACAAAAGGAGAACAAAACAACAACAGTGGAAGAGGGAGGGATAATCAATGATGCCCTTGCAAGTGTGAGTTTTCGTTGAATGCTCGGGCAATTAGAATTAAAATTGTACATATATATTAGCAACAATTAATGTTATTTCTATATTTAAACTGGTACATTATCCCATATATTAATTACTTAAAAAAAAAAAAGCAATCACACTAATCGCCTCTTTCTCTTTCTTTTTTTATCAAATGAAAGAAGTATAAAGAAGAATGTAAAAATGTGCAAATAAAACAATCTTCATATATTTGCCGGGTTATGACGACAGTGCGGGACTTAAGGCCTAAGATTTAAGTAAATAGTTGAGTGAAAATCACATAAAATAAAAATTTAAGAAAAAAAAAGATTTGATTTATTTGAAGATGTTATTAATATCATGTTAAATTAGATAAATTATCTCATGTCATAGAGACAAACTTATGGGTCCCATTATTTGTAAAAAATAAAATAAATAAAAAAGCTCACAATATCCACATTTTTATTAATGTAGGAGAAAGAACTTACATTGTTTAACATAAGAAAATATTTTCCCTTTATTTAAATATACTTACATCTTCTTCTTCTTGTGTTATTTTTATTTCTTGGAATCTTTCTCACCTTTTCGTACAACAAACAAGAAGTGCATTTCCATACCTTGCCCAGTGATATTCGATGATGTCTAAGTCACAAAAGGAATTATAATTAAGAATATTAATATAAAAAAAGAATCAACGACTTAGCAACCCGTGATTCGTGGAGTAAGTATGCGTTCCTGTGTTTAGTTCTAAAATTTTGTGTATGAGAAAAATACCCTAGAACCTTATAATGTTTCAGTTATATGAGAGTCTAACACAGAGGCTTCTTATCTCACAACCATGTTACCCACCTAAAATTTACAAACGAAAAATTAAATAAACTAAAATGGTTATGTCCTTTTCTTTATAGCTAATGTAGTGATAAAGCACAGACAGATAGCTCTACTGATTTTAAAGTAAGGGCAATTGCCTTGAGCCACAGGTGTTCCCTACATGCTGAGCACTAATAATTTGATGCTTTGAAGAGCCGGCCTGTTCTATCAATTATGATTATATTTCGAAGAGTAATTACTTTAAATTTGGCACTTCAAATTTCAATGATCAATCAATTTTTTTTTTTAAATAAAGTTCTTATAATTGGGATTAATTAATAGTACATGGCTGTCGTGAACTATCAATTGCATTATTTCACTAACTATTCCCCCCTCCCTTTCTTTCTTTGTTCTCAATCCTCTTCGCGGTGTAGAAGATGAAATTTTTTGTCACTGGTCTCAAATTGCTTTACTTAGGATTTGAATAAGACACCTTTCAGTATCGATAGTTCGCTCCTTAATATAACTCGTTTACCAAATGTAACACCCATTGGAATTATTTACCCCCTTTTTTGAAATAGTAAAAGAATATGCCGTGGTATCTAGATATCTAGCTATTACTTATCAGTCATTTAAACCAATCGTTGTAAAGGATAAATGCTTGACCTTAATAATTACCTTTTTATCAACTTGTTAATTATTGAACTGGGATGATGTTACATATAATAACATTTTGCATTAAGCTTTTTACGAGGTGTAAAGATAGTGAGACGATGGAAGAAAGTGGGTTAAGCGTAACTGCGTAAGTATTAAAAATCATTATAAAAATCAAATTCAATATCAATGGCTTTCTAAGAATGTTAGAAGGTATTAAATTATAACGTGTTAGCATGTTTGTACTGTTTTTTTTCTTTTTAGTCAACTAAATCACTCAATAATTGAAAAATAATAGGTAAACGAAAGAGAGAAGAATAATAAATCCAAAAAATGAAATATGGAAACAAATAATATACCGTGTGCATTATTGTTCGAACAAAAATTATAAGACAATATTCAAAAAAAAAATCTCAATCAAACTTCTACATAAATAAAAATATAATTTAGAATTTTAAAGATAATGAAGTCATAAAGAATGAGAATAATAATTAGCAATGTTTAGACCAGATGCGTGCTAAAATTTTTAGGATAATCATATTGATGAATCACTGTTTTCCATATATATAAATCTTCCATGAATAAAAAGAAAAAACATAAAATTGTATACCCAAATGCAATCATATGTGTTGGGATTTTGAGTGTTACCATAGCAATTTTTCAGCAATAGGATTGGCATTTGATTAGCACATTAATATCCTTAAAAAATAAAAGAGGGAAAAATTAAGAGGTACGGTCTATAAATTACCCAAAACATTAATGTAAATTTGGGATTGGTCTTATAGTCAACCTAAAGAATTAAAATTTGTGAGAATATCCGAGGGGGCTACTCGCCTCAGAGGTAATTAAATCAGTATACCAGAAAAAAAAATACTTAACTTTGTACTTTCTTTCTTTTTTTAATTGAAACTTTATGTGAGATTAGACATTGATATTTCACTAAAATCAGAGCAAATCCTCCAAACTCTTTGAGAATTTTATGAGGGATTATAGATCGCACCACCAACAAGGTCCTCGCATATCTGTTTGCTTTTTAAAAAGTTATACTTACAATTTATTTATTCGTTAAATTAAAGCTTAATCAATGATTATAAAATAATATTGAATAAGAGCCATTAATTTTTTTTTTGGTAATTTAAGAGCCATTAATTTAATTTTTATCTAGTAGTAACAAAATAATTATATGAAATTGTAAATATAATAACTGTCTAATTTTTAAGAAGATATACTTACAGCTTTGTTTCATAATTATTTTTTTATCATTGAATTAAATTTCAATCAATGATTATTAAATGAGAGTTATTAATTTAATTTTAATGTAATGATAACAAAATAATTATAAAAAATCGTAAATGCAAAACTATTATAAGTATAACCTAGCTCTCTCTCTTTTTTTTATTTTTTTTTTTATTTTGAGCGTTGCTATTGCAATTTGCAACATCCCGTGTCTTTTACTTTACTGCGTTATCATACAATATCACTTGATCAAAGGAAACACCCACTGAATTGATCGGAAAGAAAGAGGGAATTAATTATTGGTCCAAAATTAGGTAAATTAATCGAGAATATCTTTGGCGGAAGAAAACATTTTGAGAGAAGCGCATGAACCAAGGAAAGGACAACACAAAGGGAATAATTTTGTTTACTTTCTTATTCACACATTTGTTTTAGTGAATCTGTTTTTGCCGTGATAGTAACATTTGTGTTGGAAGTTGATGACACGAGTTTCACAAAGAAAATGCCAGATTGATTAGTGACCATTGCCATTTGCTTTGAAAATGATCATACTTTTATGTTAGTGCTGGATGTGGACACATTCAACAAAGACCTATTTCCAATGCTTTGTAGTTTTTCAATCAATGGGTGGTCCTCTCTCGTAAATTAACCCAACTCGTCTTTCCAAACCATTCTTCTTTCTGATTCTGATCAGGGTGGTGGGGTGGTGGTGAGTACTTATACTGAAAGCGATGAAATTGAGGCACTCGTGTGCCTTAACTGGCTCTCGCCACAGAAAGAGAGAGAGGGGGCTCTTGTCTTGGTTTGAAGAAAGCGACCTAATTAGTTCTTCAGACCATTGCCCCATATGGAGGGGCATGTTACCCATTAAGTTGAGCATCCTAGATGCGCATGCACAAATTCAAATTCTATTTTCTTTCTCCTTTTTTATCATTTATATCTTTCTTTTTTTCTCTCATGATGCTCCGTGGCGTGTAAAATTTGGCTGGAAGAGAGAGGGAAAAAAAAGGAGGAGAGGGATGTGTCAAATGTGAGTGGGGTTGTGTAAGGTGGGGGCGACAAGTCACATGGCATGTTAGGCCATTCTGCTGTTTCCAATAAGCATGTTTTTGGCGTTTTCTGTAAAAGTTTAGAGAAGTAGAGAACCATTTAACCCACTCAATAAAACCATGTTGCCCTGTGTTCATCTGAGATAAAGACCACTAAATTCTCGGTCGTTAGCAACCAGATAGACTTGATAACTAGAAAAAGTCAGAATACAATACAATCTATATGTCATTCAATAATAACTAGTAGAAGGGTCTCCCGGAAACAAGCATATAAAATAGGGGGAGGTTATACCTTATTTATTTTTATTACTAAGTCTTACTACTAATTTTATTATCAGATCAAAATCAAATTAACAATCCTGTTTTACTATGTGACTGTTAAATTAATCAATCATAACAAAATTGAAAAAGAATCCATTTACAAACTTTTTTAATTTTTTTTTTTACAAATTACACTGTATTCTTCCGAAGACCATAGTGAAACTAATGTTCTCTCGAAAAAACATTGTATAGTTTGTAAGAATTTGTAAATAAAAAAGTTTGCAAATATAATCACCCCAACAAAATTAATAAAAAAAAGTAATAAAAAAATTAATAGTAAATATAACTTATCCTGTAAAACGTATGGACATTTGTCCTGCTTATACCTTTGGAGACATTAAAAAATATATAAAAATAATCCATGTTAAACCCGACTAACAAATATGAGATAGAGAAAATCCTCGTAGGCAGCTTTACCCTTGTAATTAAGTATAATAACAAGAGACTGTTTCCTATATTTGAACCATGACCTTTCAGTCATGAATAAATAATTTTACCACTGTTCCGATTCGCCACTTTAAAAAATGTATCCCAATTATAAATTACTAACTGGAGTTGAAAACATACAAGGGAAGAATCGAGCACACTCTTAAAGGAATTGAGAATCATAAGGCCAATTAAGAAAAAGTTGCCATGACCCAGATGAGAGTTCTATAACAGGATGTTGTGTTATTCAAATTGAAACAGAACAATATTACAAGTGCATAACAAGGCAAAACTTACAATTATGTGATCGGTTTTTAACCTACTTACCCATTCTTCAAGCATGATACAAATAAACCATAAATTGTTATAAACGTTTCAAGCCGAAGTATGAGATTGAGTTGCTTGAAAGATAGGAAAAAAAAAAAAAAAAACAAAGAGACATGTGTGCTAAACAGAAAGAAAGCTTAACTTGCAATAGACTGAGGGCGAAAGAAAAAACGAGACTAATAATAATAAGAATAATTAAAAAAAATTGGACACCTGGCATTGCATATATTACATACACGCCGAAACCATAAATGTCTATCAGCTAGGAGGCGCAGAAGCCGAAGCCGAAGCCGAAGCAGATAGTAGGTTGAAGAGAGTGCTCATGGCTCGTACCTGCATCTCAAGTGCAGGTATGTAATCAATGGCTTCTTCCAGGATCACCGGTAACGGTTCTTTTTGGCAACCGGGAACCAACCGTCCAAGGAACCTCACTTTCCTCTGCACAAACGGTACACTTTTCCCCTTCAACCGGAAAACGCTGACCCGGGGCTTCTTGGACCGGGTTGGCACCTTCACCCTCTGCCTCTTGTGCTTCATGAACTTCAGCTTGAGCCGGTTCGTCAGGATGGCTCGGCTCCATCGAGTCCTCCCCTTGGCCGTGACGGCGAGTACTCTGTCGGCGGCTTCGCGGACTCGGCGAGGCGCCGAGCTGGATGAGCCGACGTTGACTCTGGCTAAGGCTTGGCGCAGTTTGGAGGAATAGATTTGTTGCTGCGCTTGGGATTTCCATTTGGGGTGGCTCTGAATCTGATCTTCTTGCTGATGATGATGATGCTTCAGCTGAGCTTTCTTCTTCCTCCTCCTCTTTGAGTCACGTGACCGTTCCGTGTTCGTTACTGGGTTTGAGATCAGAGACGAGGATGATGATGATGATGATGCCATTTCAAGAAATGGAAAAATACGAATTCAATTCAATTCTGGTGGTGGAAGGTCAAAGGGGATTTGAAAGATTTTTTCTTTTTCTTTTTCTTTTTCTGGGTCTCAAAGGACTATGCCCCCTGGAAATAAAAGATGAAAATTTCAGATTCAAGTGGAAAGGATAGGATTCAAACAATTTCAGATTCTCCCCCTAGAGGCAGGGAAGATGAAGAAAGATGATCAAAAAACTGATTGTGGTTAGATTCTTGAAAGGAAGCGCATTAGAGAGAGTGTTAGGAATTTGTTTGTTTTTTTTTTCTTTACGAAAAAAGGGGTTTGTTTTGAGTCAGCAAAATCAAAAAAACCTTTCAAAGTGATATGTAGTTGAAGGAGCTTCAGAGGAAATTCAACGGGGAAAAGATAACGGAGGAGGTGGTAACTGGGAACGGAACAGGGTTGGGTGGGTGAGGTGTCCCTTGTCCCTGCACTCAGAGGTGAGGTTGAAGGGAGAGAGAAACGGTGGAGTAGACTTATAAAGAGGGATCACAATCACAACACAGAGAGACTGTGATGACACTGCGTCGTTTTCTCTTTGTTTTTAGGAGAAAAAAGATAAATGTAAAGAAAACACCTTATTGATATTTGGTTCTTGGGCTTTAATGTATTTGATGAGGTCCCTTTGGACTTGGTTCAACCTTCGGCACTTGTCTGAATTTAAGCCCGGCCAGGCTGTAAAGCTATTTTCTCGAATCAAAATTATATATAAAATGAATAGCCTTGTTCATAGACTAATTAAGTTATTAGCATCTAATACAGATAATGTTTTCTCTTTTTTAATAATGGTTTAATTATTAGCATCTGCTTTCTTGATTCATTTTCTTTTACTTATTTAACTTCGGCCACGACCAAAAAGAAGCGACTTCAGCTATCTTTTCCTCATCCGAAATTTGAAGGGCAAATTTACTGTTGGACTAAAATGCTTGAAAATGTACCAAAAAAAAAATGCGTGAAAGATTTTCCTTTTATTGGGTTTATTTTCTAAATTGATATTTTCCTTAAAAAGAGGACGTTTTCTGATGTTCAAATGTTTTATTCGATTAACTTATTAGTTCTGATTTAATTAGTAACATTGGCACTTTCGTTTTGTTTGATGGATAAGATAGGAAGGATAAGTTTATTCTATGAGCTTATTTTATCATGTATGCAATAGATCAGCTATCCTAAAAGGGGATTCAGGTTTGAAATTAATATGATAGGATAATAAATGTCGCATCTCTCTCGTTTCAAATATATAGTTGTATGCTATTTCTTAGGAACATTACTAAGCACGTGAGGGTCAGCCATCAATCACCTCTACAAACTGTCATGCCAGCCATCAATCACCTCTACCAGCCACCACAATGAGCTACCAACTGTCACCAGCTACAACCACCCCTAACCACCAAGCACCCGCTACCACTAACCACCACCGATCAGCTCCCACAATTGCCCTCACTCACCACCATCACTGCTGCTGCCTCGGGCCGCCACCACCCCCAACCACAAAACACCAACCATCACCACTACCACCGCCATCAATTAGCCACCACAATTGCCACCTGTTAGCGTCCACGCCGCCACCACCACCACTTCCACCAACCACCCTCCACCATCGCACCAACGACTACCACCATCGTTGTCATTGGCCATTGACTGTAAAACTATTTGTGTCTCATGTGTGATGTGTGTCAATTGGTTTGATTAATAATAAAAGAGGCTTTAAGGTAATTGACGTTTTGCATTAATGATAATTGACGTTTTAACGTTTTGCATTATGGTAACGCTTCGCATTAATGATAATTGACGTTTTAACATTTTGCATTATGGTAACGTTTTACATTAATGGTAATTGACGTTTTGACGTTTCGCATTAATGGGAAGTTACAGGAAGTTATTTGAAACTCCGTAACTGGTGACATGGTTCAGTTATACAAAGAGAAAAATGGTGAGTCTCCGAGATTTTTTTTTTTATCTCTCAGAATTCTCTCCTTCATGGTCTGCCCATAAAAGTTGTATCAGATCCCTGTCATAGACGATACAAGGAAAGCAGAGGGTAAAGACTCTGAGAAACAATCTTCCATAATCAAAGTTCTTCATCAGAGTTCTTCCGCACTAATGGAGAAAGGTACGCTCTTATGTGAAAATCATGAATTCTAAAGATCCTGTATCATGTTCTTGAATGATCATTGTTGAACATGTATTAATGAATTACTGATGAATAGCTTACATGTGGTATCAGAGCATGTGTTTAAGAATTTGTGTTTTTCCATAAATAATTATGAATGAATTTCTGATTCATGAAAAGTTAGGGTTTTTGAAAAATAAAATTCACGATCATCATTTGAATTTTGCGTTCATATTACGGTTTGCATATTGATTTGAAATGCATATGTCAAATACTGCATTTTTATGATGTCGCGAGTTCTGAAGAAAACAATTTCGAATTGATTTTGTATTTCACAAAAGGACGAAAACGAAAACATGAAGTCCCTTTACGTTAATATGAATTTGATGGTTTTCGCGTCATTTGCCATTCTCGGAAACGTATGCATTTGGGCGTTGAATGGAATTTCATTTGAAAATTGGTTGAATTAAAGCATTTGCCATTCTCGGTTTTCGAGTTTTGAAGCAAAATTTTGATTTGGTTTTGCAATACAATTACGTCGGTTTTCAATTCAATTCAATGTGAATATTTTTAATGCCATTCAATTCAATTCAATTCGATTCTGTGTCGTTTTCCGTTCCAATTCAATGCCATTCAATTTTTAATGCCATTCGATTTAATGGATAAAGGTACTGTATGTAAATATATATTCTGATATTGAATGTGAAAATTGAATGATTATGTAATATTCACAGTTTTAAATTGAATGATTTTGTGATGTGGTTGGATTAAAATTAAATGTGAAAATTTAATCTTATTATTGTTTATGAAATATCAAAGTTTTGAAATTAATTATGGTAGATTTGTTAGTCACCCAAATCTTGAAGAGTTATTTTAATTTCAAATATCATGAATTTTATTTCAATTACCATGACTGTGATGCTATGAAGAGTATGAAATAATTTTCTGGTTGTGGTATATTGAAGTTCATTATTATAGGACAGTTAGGGATCAACCCAAAGGTTGATTATTTGTTTTATAAAATGAACATGGATGTTGGTATTGTTGGCATATTTTCTCACATTTGGACATCCAAAGATGGCAAATATTTATGATAGGGGTATGCATCATTGCCAAATTATGTGAAATTTATATAGCATCATTATAGTTAATGTTGTATGTTAATGGATCCCCAAAGGTGAACATTGATATGCATTGAAGTTAGTATATTTGAATCTGTGAATTATGTTAGTATGTGACATGTATGACTCAAAGCATTAATGTTTTTAAATGTTATTCCTCGCAGTACCAGTTGCTACACATTCCATGTTCTCAACTGTTGTAGTTTTTAATGGGCTGAACTTCTCTGAATAGAAAGAGCAAATCAATTTTTACCTTGGGGTAATGGATATGGATTTGGCTCTTAGAGAAGAGGAACCTGGTGCTATTACTCCTGAAAGCACTGAGGATGAAAGGGACCATTTTAAGAACTGGGAAAGATCCAACAGATTAAGTCTAATGTACATGAAAATGAGCATAGCAAGCAACATTAAGTCAGCTCTTCCACAAACTGAAAGTGCCATCGAAATGATGAAACTTGTGGAAGAGCGCTCCCAAACCGCTGATAAGTCTCTTGCTGGGACACTTATGAGTACACTGACCACCATGAAGTTTGATGGTTCGCGTACTATGCATGAGCATGTTATTGAAATGACAAGCATTGCGGCAAAATTAAAATCATTGAGCATGTTATTAAAATCATTCTGTCAATTATGTAAAGCATCAAGAAGCTGAAAAGTATAAAGGTAAGATGCATGAGAAGAAAGGAGGAGGAGATGGACCCCTTAAAGTGAATGAGGTCTCTTCTTCTAAAATCCACAAGGCCAAATGAAAAGTTTGTCTTTATGGGCAATAGAGTGAAAGTTCCGGTGGAAGCTGTTGGGACGTATCGTTTAATTCTCAACAGTGGATATCATTTGGACTTATGTGAAACTTTGTATGTCCCTAGTATATCTAGGAATTGAGTTTCAATTTCAAACTTGATGTTGCTGGATACTCTTTTAAATTTGGTAGTGGTAGTTTCAGTTTGTACAAGCACAATCATTTGATTGGTAATGGTACTTTATGTGATGGATTATATAAATTATGTCTTGATAATCTTTATGCTGAAACACTTATGACTCTGCATCATAATGTTGGTACTAAACGTACCTTAATTAATGAGTGTTCCGCTTACTTGTGGCACAAACGTTTGGGACATATTTCCAAAGAAAGGATGAAAAGATTGGTAAATAATGAAATCCTTCCGGATTTAGACTTTACTGATTTGAATGTTTGTGTGGATTGTATTAAAGGAAAACAAACAAAACACACAAAGAAAGGAGCCACAAGGAGCACTCAGCTTCTTGAAATTATACACACTGATGTATGTGGTCCGTTTGATGTTAATGCCTTCAATAAAGAAAAATATTTTATCACTTTCATTGATGATTATTCACGTTATGGTTATGTCTATTTGCTGCATGATAAGTCTCAAGCTGCAAATGCTTTGGAGATTTATATTAATGAAGTTGAAAGGCAATTAGACAGAAAGGTGAAGATTGTCAGGTCTGATAGGGGTGGTGAATATTATGGAAGGTATGATGAAAGTGGACAACATCCGGGCCCATTTGCTAAATTTCTGGAAAAGCGTGGTATTTGTGCTCAATACACAATGCCCGGTACACCGCAACAGAATGGTGTATCAGAAAGGCGTAATAGGACCTTACTGGATATGGTTAGGAGTATGTTAAGTAATTCTTCTTTACCTGTTTCATTGTGGACTTATGCTCTAAAAACTGCCATGTACGTATTGAATAGGGTTCCTAGTAAGTCAGTTCCAAAGACTCCTTTTGAACTTTGGACTGGAAGGAAACCTAGTATAAGACACCTGCATGTTTGGGGTTGTCAGGCAGAGATTAGATATTATAATCCGCAAGAAAAGAAACTGGATGCAAGGACAATCAGTGGTTATTTCATTGGTTATCCAGAAAAATCGAAAGGGTATAGATTTTACTGTCCTTATCATACTACAAGGATTATTGAATCTGGAAATGCAAGGTTCATTGAGAATGGTGAAGTTAGTGGGAGTGAAACACCACGTAAAGTGGATATTCATGAAGTGAGAGTACAAGTTCCATTACCTTGTAGCTCTAGTAAAGTTATTGTTCCTTATGCTATTGAACCAATCAATAATAATGAAGGACAAGTTAATGATCCCACTACTCATGAAGAAATCATTGTTGATGAACCGAATGAACCCATAGTAGAAGAACCACAACAAATAGCATTAAGAAGATCTCAAAGAGAAAGGAGACCTGCTATTTCTAATGATTATGTGGTATATCTACAAGAGTCTGAATTTGACATGGGTATTCAGGATGA